CAGTTCAAGGTGGGCCAGTTAGATTTTAATGATATGTCGTCAGCACTATATTTGTTCGTAGGGTTCAATTCTTACTTAATAGATATATCTTGCACACGAGTCTATTGTCAAGTAAAACAGCTGACATAGCTATAAAGGGGGAGATGCATATTGCGAAATTATCCAAAGAGTGTACATGCCAAGGTTAATCATATGCAGGATAGTCTGCGTGACATCACTAAGTTCCCTTTTGTGTACACCTTCCCACCCACACACTTTAACACAAAACCAAGCAGTGTTCTCACGGCCAGCGTCTGCAAAAAAAAAAATACAAGCTCGATTCTTTTGTATTTGATTTTTCATGTATACAGCTTTCTTGTGGACGATATTTGTTTTGTGGAAGAAAACTGAAATTACAGGACTTTGGTTAAAATACGTGCTGCTATATTTGACAAAACACATTTTCTGGAATATTAAGTTCCGCAATAGACGTTTTTCAAGGTGATGTATACAAAGTAATTATCTTTGTAGATTTTCAACCGCTTACAATTTTCCACTTTTTCCCTAATTAAGATTACTACGGCAAAATATTTCCAACATGCAAAAAATACAAACACACAACTACACCAATCCAATCAAAAAGCAAAAGCGCCAAATCGCATATTTTAGTTTTTTCTTTTTTTAAACATTATAAGTAATCAGCAAGACCTTCAGATATCATTGCATTTTCTAGGATATCAAGTTTCCTCTCCGACATAGCCTGCGTACATCCGGTTTATTTTCAAAATTAACCGTCCGTGTTTAAGGGTAAACGCTGGATGAACTCAGGCTACTCCGACGCAGCAATGGCGTGGGTCAGCCTCCTGTCATGGCCGCCATTACATTTCACCAGATTTCTCTCACAAYTAACAGTCTTTAAACCGCTTTAACCCGATATTTTTGTTTTCAGAAAGTAAAAACACCTGAGACTAGCTCTGGACAGTAGTTCCATTTTAGAGATAGCGGATAACGGATTCTTAAATACAATAATTCATTATAACTATTAATAATGTGACTGGTCAAAAAGTAAAAAGTGTGCTTGGTTAAAMCAACCATAGAAAAGCTGTTTACCAAGAAACCAAAGAAATGCATGTAAAACAACCGATTTGTTTGGTTGTTTTAACCTGTTAGTTTTCCAGAAGACACGGGCTAAACTGAGAAAYAACTAGCTCAGTTTTCAAAAAACGTCTGCACTATATCAGAAATATACTCAAAGAACGTAGTTTGAACTTGGCCTTACACTGTTTCGACTSCTCTGTTATTACTGAAGTTTCACATGGTGAGCCACAAGCTGTGCCATTCAAGATTTGACATTTGATAAAACTTATCAAAGTATGTTGGTTGTACGTAATTTTATCAGTGAATGAATCTCGTCAGGATGTCATTCGAATTTCCCTCTTGATCAAAAAACTGAGATTTTACTTGTCAAGAATGTGAAAAATTACCGGTCTAAACAGAACCGGATTCTTATCGGATTGGGTGTGGCATTACTTGAAATTGCCTTGGAAATTTACACCAACTCTAGAGTCGCTATTTCAACAAAGAACGCGCCAAGAGGAACAGCGCCTACCTGTAGAGCTTTGCAAGGGGTATGTTATGAAAGATTACGATTTATCATATAATTATCTATGAAATACCTATATTTCTCCATTACGTAAAATTGATATTTTCACTAGTGAAAATAACATGTTATTTAATAACACATTCGAGGTTTCTCTATATAGTGGAAGTAAGAAAATAGATATTTTCCGACATAATTTGCTTTCATATTTAATTATATGATAAACAGAATATTACATGGTCGCTTTGAGATACGAATTTTATCTTCTCGTGTTGAAAATCTCTCACTCGTTCGCTACGCTCACTCGTAGATAAAATCCGTATCTCCGCGCGCCCATGTAATATCCTCTATATATATGTATAATGAAGACAACATAGCTAGGGCTTGACTTAACGCAAGGGGTAACCAAGGAGTTGAATCTGACCTGCGCAAAAAAAACCTAAAACCACTTTCAGGAATAGGTCTACCTCTGCAGYTCTGTTATAGTGTAATTTGCTTGGTGTAGGAACGTTATTAGGTTCAAACCTTACTTTAAATAATACGACAAGCCAATACTTTTTTTCAGCCTACTCGGAAAATATAATATACATCAGTTAAGTTACATCGGACTAACAACTGACCACCAASGGTGTTACCATACAACCTGTGAGACTCCAGATTGACGTAACAAGCTTGGGAACAGCCGACGACCTTGACCGTTCTGTCGCAGTGGGCATATGACTTGTTTATGAGTACTTAACGATTGGATAAACACACTTCATATCAATCTTGAGAAACTTTGAAGGTCAAAATGCTTCAGTGGCATTCAACTTTAACGGCACTTGGCGACGAAAGGATTTTCACACCGAGTACTGTGTGGTTTGAGGTGTGTCTTATCAAAAGTTGTCAAACCAGCTTTAACAATCAAACCAGATAAATGATGCTAAATTTAAAATAAGCAGTGAATTTGAGGAACTCAAGAAATTGTTGAAGATAGTCAAAATATCCCTCATCTTTGACATCATGTAGTGCTGGTCAGACCTTTTCTAAACAATCCCGCCGARAGGACCTTTTACTTTTCTTAGTGGGAGCTTTCCCTGGATTCCCGTCTTTACATTACTGTTGGCTATTTCATATAGTGAAGATACACATAGTTGTCAAAAGTCGATCTTAAATCAGGACCTTCAGATTCCCTAAATTTAAACTATTTAGGGTTATATTATCTGCACTCTACTTGGAACCTTTAGACGTTGCACTTTAGTCGGTTGCGACACTTATTCACATCCTCGGGAACCCAGGGGTAATCTTTTGTCGTTCGTTCCTCASTCCCAGAAAAAATACCCCTGRKCACGAAGTCTGTTAGACCTTGTTCTCGATTCGAAATTCAAAATGGCGGCCAGTAAGTTAATCAACCAATCAGAATGTTCGAGTGAATCACTCGACCAATCAGAGATTTACCGGYCGCCATTTTGAATTTCGAATCGAGAACAAGGTCTAACCGACTTCGTGCCCAGGGGTATTTTTTGAGGGTCTCAATGGGGTTAACCGTGAGCCGTGAAACGGCTGAAAAATTAGCCGTGAGTCGTTTTTATAGCGTGAGCCGTGATTCAGTATTGTTCCTCAGAAGGAAGTCGTGAGTCGTGATTCGTACCACCCCATTGAGACCCTCTTTTTTCTGGGAGTGAAGAACGAACGACAAAAGATTACCCCTGGGTTCCCGAGGATGCACTTATTCACTACAACACTTGYGAATTGAAACTGTCACTTGAATGGCGTCCCTGTGTTAAATACTTGGATGGTAAGACTAGGGTTGTGTCATCTCTAGCTTTCCTCTAAACGTTTTCTTCCTTCATTTTAGGAGCTGTTCTACCTACCCCTCCCTACTCATCMTTGCCCCTCCCCAATCATTCATCCTATAAAAAAATTAGCAAGCGGCAATGTAAACACAATTTCGTCAAATTGCTCGCAATTGAGGCTAATGGACGATTTACACTTACAGGTCACGTGATATATAAATAAATAGAGAATTAAACATGACATTCAAAAATGTTCTTTAAAAATTGTTCAGAAAACAAGCCTAACCATTTTCTTCAAAAGATATAACTTTCAAACGCTATAACTTCTCTTCATGTATATCTTTTGAGATGAAACTTCTTAGTTTTAAAATGCTTTATGTGCTTTTAACTTCAGGGTTTGTTCTTATAAAGGAGGTGTGGTCACATGGACTTTAGTGTAGCTTGTATAGCAGCCCTCTTGGGATCCCTGTGGATGAAGGTCCCACACAAATTTCCCTTTCAAGAAATTGAAATTGAATTGTTAATTTTAATGCATTTAATTTATTTTGTTCCATATTTCATCTCAACATTGCATGAGGGGATGGGAGATGTGCCTTTCAGGCTGAAAACATCCTTAATTAGCAGGCGCACTAGAGTAACACAAATTGTATTTTGACCTAAAAAATGCCTCTCTATTTATATGTAAAAAGTTAGCTTTTGTTATCATCCCTATTAGTTTGACTCTATACCTTTAATGAAGAAAGATATTATTCATTTGGACTTTTTCAAAATTGCTGGATTATCTTTTATCCACTTTTCCCAGTTYTGGCCATCCACTTTTTCAACTTCTATGCCATCCACTGTTCCTTGATCTAGGCAGTGTGGTGCAACTCCATAACCATCKTGATTTGACCGTGGGACATAAAAACTTTGGACACCACAGGTTTTACAGAAATAATGCTTGGCTTGATGAGTATTAAATGTGTAACATGAAAGGTTTTCTTCGCCCTAAATTAAGGCACATAAAAATAAATGAAATTGAAAAAAAAAAGAATGAATAAAATTCATAAAGGTGTAATAGTCAAAGACATGCACATTTGGTGCATTTAGAGACCCTTGAGCCAGTAATGTGATGATTATCACATCTTTAATACTATCATATCAAAAATGTAAAACAATTTTGTTTTGGAATTTTCAAAAAGGATGAAAATACATCAYCACCACCACAGGGAATCCATAAAATATAAAACAGTCAAACTCTCTCGTAAGCGACCACCTTGGGATTAGGAAAAAGTGGTCATTTACAGGAGATGGTCGCTTATGAGAAAGTTTTTTTTACAGAATTTATATGGGAAACTAAACAAAACGGGAAATTTAAAAGCTGGTCACTTACAGGAGATGGTTGCTTAAATTACTAAAATTACTAAAATTATGAGTCGTAGTTCAAAGAGAGTTAACTGTATTACATTCATCAAAAAGGAGAAGTAATCCCAGAAAACATTTACTAAAAGTAAAAATGTATCATAGATGTACCTTTGTTATTGTCAGGTGTTTCTTGGGTACAATAAAATGTTTATTCTGTTTCTTCATACAAATGCTACAACTGAAGACACAAAGTTAAACAATTGAAGAAAATAAAACATTACCAACTCTTGGAACTTATTAATWAAGGTTTAAGGAAACAGGAGAAAGGGAGACTACCCTCCATAAAAATGCATTGTTTGTGATGTGAGAGTTGGAGTAAGATCCCTAACCCTTTTTCCAAATATGGATTTACATATACAGGAACACTTCGCTGCATGATATGTAAAAAAATGAAAGATGTTAAGACCTTCTTTATAAAAGATCATTCTTAAGGTGAGTTTTTCAACTCTACTTATTGTTTTTCGAAGTTGAAACAGTCACAAAAATATGTGTTTAATTAATTTACAAACGATCCTTTGACTTGATAATAAACAAGTGATTATTATTGATTAAAATTGAGTTTTTTTTAAGATAAAATGTTACATTTATTAGGGTTATAATTAATAGAAAAAGTGCATCCTGTCATATTTACATGATTAAAGGTGCATTGAGAGATCCAGGATTGTTTTCAATGGTGTCCACTATTTGGAGATGGTGACATCTGGGTCTGCTAATAAAGGCACTGGCCTATGTGTGTGTTTTGTGGAAGGGGGGAGGGGGTTGACCATCAACGCAATGAACCTACCCAAATCCACCACTGTTACATTATTTGAAATTGTTACTCCATAAGGAAGATGGAATTCCCCARCGAGCTATGGCCGTGTGGAAATGCACAGTTAAGAATTTAGGCTTTAATGCTAAAGCTTGGATGTTAAGTAATTGCTTTACAATATCGAATAATCTAGTATCTTTAAATAGCCCGCGATATTATTTTGTACTCACTTGCAGTCGTAAACGTGGAGYGTGCGAGACGCTATGACCTCAAACCTAACACTACCACAATGACATCCCCCTGAATGCTTYACTAACTCATTTGCTGATTCAGACATATTTAACAGAACTTCAAAAATCGACCGACGAAAATCAAAATTACCAAATATCGAGCTGTGGTCAGCGGGAACTACAATACACAGGCAACCCAACTGAGGACCCACTCCACGGGACTACTCTTGGATGCCCGCTATTCGCTATACGGGGACGTGCCGCCAACCAGGGTATCGCAGCGATTTTACTCTGGAACTGGGTATCATTTTTAGCGATTTTACTCTGGAACAGGGTATCGATTTCAACGAATTTTCTCTGGAACAGGGGTCAGGGTTTGATTCCGGAATTATTGACTGGGTAAAAATTCACGGGGTAAAAATTCGATCTACACGCAAGCTAGAGCTGGATTTTACTCCGGAACAGGATATCGTTTTCAGCGATTTTACTCCTCCCCGGGCTTGGATGCGATCGGATCGACAAATCTAACTAACGCATGTCTCTAAGTGTTCATTAAATATTGCTTTGCAAAAATACATGATGTTATACTGATTGCTCTGCTCGGAGTATCATTTTAAAACCTGTCAACGCTCTTGCAGCCTGCGTAGCCAGGCGTTCCTAACTTCTCCGAGAGAGTTTGGGCCTACACGCAAGGTAGTGCTGGATTTTACTCAGAAACAGGGTATAGTTTTCAGCGATTTCACTCTGGAACATGGTCAGGATTTTGAGGTGCCAGCGACACACCCCCACCCAAGTTGGGSGGGGGGGGGGGGGGGGGGGGGGGGGTTGTTGCCATCTGTGTAAATATCAGTTCCAGATGTCATCATGAAAATGGACATATCTCTTCTTGAACAGCTCTCCCGACATACATCCCCCCACCAATACAAAGTTGATAGTCCTCAATGTAACAGTTGCCGGTCGTGACTGGATTGTTTGTCATTTTCTATGCAATATTTTTACTAATATTCTACATGTATCTGCATTTTTTTTTCTAGAGTGCCTCTCTTAATATCCGTTAAACGCAACATAGATGCGCGAACAAAGAATAGCCTGCGTAACGACACTAAGAGCAATTGTTTTTCAACATGTCAGCCATTATAATTTTGTACTAGTCCCCTCCCATCCTTGAAAATAAGTAATCCCACAAAAACCACAGGTAGCCCGCGCGAATGTCAGACAATTGTTTGATATGAGAATGAATTCACGCTAGTAGTCCTAGTAATACATATTGATTATCGATACAACACAAATTTCTGCTTTTTCTTGGAACATTTTTGAAGTAAAGAAAGATTTAGAAGTTTCCGCTTTTTATAGAGTTGCAGAGTTGTGTCCTTCGCAAAGTTGTATATTTTTCGGACTATCTCTGGCGTGACATTTTGCATTCCTGAGATGCCGAGGGGACACCGGTTTGGTCAGCTCACTATTACGAAAGCAAAAGTTTGAACTTCGGGACCGATTTATTTCTGTTCTGTTTTAGCTGTGATTTTGATATTTCAGGAGGGAATAAAGTGTTTATCTGCGGTCAGTTAATTTCCCAAAATTTCAAGAGCTTGGCGCGATTTTTTCGACCCGATTTTGAGGTTTAAGTGAGTCGAATTGGCGATTTTGGGGAGTTCGACGGGCTGGAGTTGCCAGCCTTGTGGGGATTTACTTCACCGGGGCTCGCGATCATTTACCCATGAAAAACGTATCGCACGGCAAAAAGAACCACAAATCCACATTCAGAAAGCATTAAAGTTTATTTCGGAACTAAAAAAACAGAATATAACCCCCCAAAATAACCAAAATATCGATGTTGAAAATGGCCTAAATTTGAAAAGATTTCAACGGCTTTCGGCCGATAATCGCCATAGGAGGCCTGGAGCCGACTCTTCTCGATAGTTTGGTAAGCCTGTGACAAAAGTAATCTCTCTTTCGACCTCCATTTTGAATTGTTTTCTCGCGTCTTACCACAAACGGCTGAGCGACCTCGCCTCATACGATCTGACCAATCATGTTCCATTTCTAAAAATAGCTCTTTTTCTAAAAATAGAACGAAGGGTTGATATGATGGGTTAAGAACGCAGTACCAGGGATTCCTTCTCTTACCTCATTTTCTCTTGGTTTGTGCAAATTCCTCCCGTCGGGGGGTTATGTTTACAACATAAGCTTGTCAGCTTTGCGCTGATTGGCTAGTCGCATTTTCTCAAATCACCAAGTATGACAAACAAATCATTCAGTAACATGTATATTATACCGTCAGCCCCATTAAATAACGTTGTTCAATTGTAAAGACATAGTGCATATCACAAGCCCGCCATTTTGAATGGTTTTGCAATGTATCATGGGATATATATCTCCCTTTCTTAATCAAAACAAATCGCCAAAATCGTAAAAAAACTAATTAGTTTCGATTTCTCCACAGACAAAATATGTTTTTTTTTTATTTTTGCTTGATTTGCCTAGTAAATGGAAATTCTTCAGGTTTTTCTTGCTGTATATCCTTGCATGTTGATATTTGTTTGTTTTTTCGCTTCTGAGATTAACTACAATATCAATATTTCCCAATGTTTTTCGAAAACTAAGTCTACGTTACAGACAACTGTAGCACTGACATCGTTGTTCTCTTGTTTATTCATTTATCAATCCCAAAATGCACTGCGTCATAAGGTTTAAAGTCATTTGCATATCATATTTTGAAATTTCTTGGCAAATATATTCAACTTAAAGCCCCAAAACGTCTTTACAATGTCAATACCATTTAATTCGCTGTTGGCAGATTCACACTGTTGACATTGTGAAACGCTATTGAAATTGTTTGGCGTGCAATTAATAATAAAGAGGGATGGGCTAGTACATTGAATGGGCTATGCCAAGGCAGGCCGAGGGGAAAGGAGACTTGTCCCATGACATCACAACCTCGTTCCCAGGGCCTTTATCCCTTCGCTTGGGGTCAGGCTTATCCCAAGCGAAGGAATAAGGCCCTGGGAACGAGGTTGATGACATCATT